GTCTGACGACGCAAGGTCAGGCGAGTATGGTGGGTATGGCAACACATCCCATCGAAGCTCCAATAATTTTTGACGAGTGATCAAACTTGTATGTGATCTAGCATTGTTGTGATGGAACACAACTCCTTTACAATTAACAAGCTCTGGATGTTTCTGGATGATGGATTCATTCAAACTGTTCAGTTGCCAACATTACACATTCGAATTTATTGTTTGGTTTCTTGATAAGAGCTTGAAAAACACACCTTTAAAATCCCACTACACTGAGAGCATAACCTTCCTCTGATGAATGTCTGCTTTCGATGTTGTTTGAAGCGAATCATCACATCAGGACCAAGACTGCACACCACATTGTTGTAAACAATCTACTTCTCATCACCAGTTATTAGTCGCTTCAAAAAAGGATTGTTTTCCTCACGTTTAATGAGCATATTGCAGATGTTTATATGCGCCATCAAATGAACTTCTTTGAGTTCATGTGGAACCCAAATATTGACCTTGCTTATGTATCCCAGCTTCTTCAGGTGGTCCTGAACACTTGAATGATGGCTGTTCAATGTTTCTGCAATCTCTCGTGTCATGTAATGTGGGTTTGACTTCATCAATCCCTTTATTTTGTCGTCATCAACCTCGGTGGGCCTCCCTGACCAGGAGCGTCATTGAGATTAAAATCACCAGCATGGAATTTCATGAACCGTCGTTGGCACTGATGTTCTTGTAGAGCATTGTCACTGTAAACTTTATGCAACTTTTCACAAGCTTGACGTGCGTTCTTCCCTTTATGGAAGTAAAACAGTAAAACATGGCAAAAATGCAGTTTGGTCTTCCATCTTCAACTTGTTGTAAAATCTCCAAAACTCAACCAAATTGCTCTATTTTATTTTAAATGAAGCTAGAGCTGTCAGCTGTTAAATGACACAGTAATGACATAAATGCGAATGACTCTAGTACTTCCAAAAATGAACTAGTGCCATCTATTGCAAACATGAACCATGATTTTTCCAACAACCCAATAAGTCAACTCCAAACAGGTCAAATACAGAGATAAAGCTTCCAGAAATCTGCAGGATGTTAGTTACCTGTTAGTGTCCCATTATATAAATACTATGCAATAAAAGTAATATCAATCCCTGAATTAACTCTTGTCCTGGGCTCATATATGTCATGAACCATATTTTTAAATGGTGATGATTAAACATCTAAGGAATCTGAAATGTTAAGTCAAGTTCCCATTCTCCTGATTGAATTTATTTTATTAACCCAGATATGCAGATTAGATTAATGTTAATCCTAGGTTCATTGGGTACCGTCATCTTTGGTCAATGCAATCCTTCCCTTGATATATTATGCATCCATTTATTAACTTATTTTTCCATGATAGGATTACTGTCTTCCAAATTAATTTTCTATTGGTCTCAATTTTCTTCTCTTTTAAAGAAGTTAGATTCTATGATATCTAAGGTCTCTTTTAGCTCTGATGCTCTGTAAATGAGAGTAAGGCCTGCAATGTGTTTAGATCAGTGCCTGGCATATAACTAGTCCTTAATAAATAGTAGTAATAACTACCATTTATTATTATTATTATCATTAAATTTCACAAAGTTTCACTGTTGATTCTGTACTTGATATACTAGAAAACTGGCTAGACTCCCCATAAATTTGGTGACTCTTCTACTGGGCAGTAAAATTTCTAGAAGTATTTTTCTCCCCTGGTCAGCTCCAAACTGTCCATTACCCATTTATCATTGACTCACACACTCTCAGGTTAGAAAAGACCTTAAAGGTCAATTTCTAGCAAAGGATGTAGCAGAGGAAGAAATGAGGCCAACTCTTCCCAGAGTAATTCCCATTTGCAGAGTTTCAAGATGAATCCTCTGGAGTTCTTGTTTACACCTACTTCTACTAAACTGCCTGAATTTCTGTTCAGTACAATTCCCTGAAATTTTCTTTTAGAATTATGAGGGACCTTGGCAGAGAGGCCAAACACAAGTGAGGCTTCATTATCAAGTAATGCTGAGTATAAGGCAGAGTAGAACTTAAAATTGCCTGTTTTCCTGCCATATGGCACATTCCAGAGGGAGAGTCCAGGGTCAAATGCTGCAGTGCTACTCATAGCATAGAAAAAGGAAGTATTTGTGCAAGGCTTAGATCACGTATTCCAATGTTAGTAGTGGCTGTGTCCTAACCATCACTACTCTATCGGTTCCTTGTCCCTTTGGCTACTGAGGCCTTGATAATAGGGCTGATTCCAATAACCAACAGAATTTAAGGTCATGAAAGATTTTTTTTTGCTGCAGCTATTGATTTTTATCTGGCGGCTTTATTCTGGCCAACTGGCTCTAATCAAGGAAGCTAACGAGTTCATCAAGGTAGATCCCAAAGCAGGATACAGAATGTGCCTGTGCATCAATGGGAGAGGGGCTTCTTTGGCATTATTTAGGTTTAAGAATTATACTCTTTGAGAATGCATACATATTCATGTGGAAGATAACTGAGAAAGCAATGGACAATAAGATGAATGAATCTACATTCATATGTTTGATTTGACAGATGAATGGGGGTTTCCAAATCTGTTTTTACTTTTTTAAACAGAACTAAATTTTTCCCTTGTAAATACATATGCATCCAAGTGGAAGAATATACCCTTTGAGTAAGCTAAATGCTGGCCCAAGGATTGGTTTACAAAGCAGAAAAGTGGTTTGCCCATTCATTTCCTACCTCACTTTCCAATTCTCTCTCATGTTCAGTGCAGTGAATGCTGTGTGTGTGTGCCAAGCAGGGCATGCCCACAGAAGGCAAGAGTGTTAGTGGAAAGAAAAAGAGAAAGACACCATGGAGAAAAAATATCAATGAGCAATTTTGCCACTCTTAGGAAACAGCCTCCAGGCCTCAGGAGACCTGGAGCAGTGATTCCTCTTCACTTTGTTCAGAAGATGGAGCCCAAAGGCGATATGGCTTTCAAAGAGAAGCATTTTGTGCTGCCTTTGCCGTCCTAAACAATAATGACCCCAGAGTCCCAGAGAAATCCACAGGCTATACTTCATACTTGACTCATGAAGTACCTTGTGTAGTCCTCACAGTGGCTGCAGGCTCTCACATTGGACAGCAAATGCCCACCATTCGGAAGGAAAGAAAGAATAAGGGGCTGATGTATACTGAGACTTGGATCCTGCTTGAGCTCTTCTCATCCCATGAGAAACCCATCAGCTTCTAGAGGAGTAATCCAATGTCCCAGTGAATAAGATGCAGGTGGTCTGAGTGGCAATTAACTGTGATCAAAAAGACTAAACTTTCTGGATTCCAGGTTGGGGAGGGAGGAAAAGGTGTGTACAAAGGCACTGGCCAGTAGTGAGACTGTGCCAAAACTCTTAGTCCAAGCAATAGTGCTTCTGCCTCCCCACCTATAAATAACAACAACAACAATAATTATAAACCACATTTACTCTAGAGTTATTCAGCCTGAATTCCACTAATCCTTTGTTTCTCTCCTCTCCCCTCCTCCTCTTTCTCCAGTATCCAGTACATTTCCTGGCACCTTCTAGGGTCTCAAAAAGGATGTGTCAAACCAGTCAGATAAATGGTTACAATATGTACCATGCTGCAAATGATTTAGTTCTTTTGATCTTTCACTTCTTCATCAGTAATTTGGAGATAATGTTATTTGGTGGGTGTGTTTCCAAGATTAAATGATATTGCATACTTTATATGATGTGTAAAATGTCACAAAATGATGATTTTATCAGTTATAAGTTTAACTTTATGAATTTTATGACCTTTCAATTTATGAATATTGAGTTTGCAGCTATGGCTCAGAGGAGAGGATGGGGGGAGTGAAGCCCTAGGCAGATAAAAGAATCTTGACCCAAAGCTATGGGTATGTGGGTTAATTAAATAAATTTAACCAATGCTTAGGAAGAAAGGTAATGGGGGGTTGAAAAAGGAGAAAGGGAAAAGTGGGAGGAGTTAGGGATATAGTGAATACTTTTAAGGTCAACTGAATTATTTCATAAAGGGTAAATTTTCTTTTCACGAGAAATCATCCTGGGCCAGAAATGGCGGGGAGGTTGTTCAGCAGAAGCTGTTATAGTTAAACCGAGCTCACTGCAGTCGGAGTGCAAGATACAGTAATGAAGGCGGTGGAGCCACATATTTCATCTGAATTTCCTCTGTGGTCCTTTTTATATTAAAGTGTCTCACTGTTTCAGGGCCATGCTTGGAAAAGTTAGATAACTTTTTCATTGGTGGAGAAAAAGAAGCCTCATCAGACTCAATGGAACCGATGAATGAAGTTATTCCCTTGGCCCAATATCTCCATCCACTTTCATACCAAATATTCATAGAAACGTCTATCCTCAATTCCGCTACTGGAATTTTACTCTCCCGTGGTGTTGCTTAGAATCGGATGCACAGATTTGGAAAAGTCAGCAGGCAACAGACCTGGCTTTGGAGCCACTGTGGTTGGCTTTTGCAAGAGCGGGTGCTCCTTAGGTCGTGTGGTAGCTTCTCCCGGGAGTAGAATGTGTAAAACAAACAGTTGCTGAAAAGCATGAAGAATTAACGAAGTGGAAATCTCGGGTTATTTGTTCCGCAATTGACACGCAAGTGACTTCCTTAAATAGTTATTTAAGGAGGTTCAGAGAGAGGATGAATGAATCTTCCTGGAGCTTGACTCGCACCAGCGTGTAAATCCCTTTAGTTTTTTGACAAGTGGCGGTAAATTAACACAAATTCAGGAGGGAGGAGAAAGAAGGGGGTAAAATCACGACGTCCACGCCGTAGCTCTCCTCCTAGCCCTTTGGAAAGTCTTGCTTTTGCTGCCTGGGACCCCAGAGGTTACAGCGAGGAGAATCCGGCGGCGCTAGGACCTGGTTGGCGTCTGGCTGCAGCCGCCGTCGGGCGGGCGGGAGGAGGAGGGAAAGGAGGAGGGGGATGTGGGAAAGGAGGGCTGTTAAGAGGGGCGGAGGGAGTAATTTATGCAGAGCAGGCGCTGCTGCCTTTGCTGCTCACTCTCCCCGCGCGCAGTTTGGAGCCAGAGGGAGCTCAGGGAGCAAGCTAGCGAGCACTAGGAGCCCGGGCCAGCAGAGGGGGCGCCCGTCCGCTGCCTGCACCGCCGCCTCCACCGCGCTCGGGGGCCCCGGGAGGAGCGAGGGCGAGTCGGAGAGTCTGGGAGCCAAGCCCGGCAAGACCCAACTGCGGGAGGGCGCCTGCCCCGCTCAGCCGCCTCCTGAGCGCGAGCCGGGGAGCGCCCGCCGACCGCCCCGCGGGCCGGAGAGCAGGGAGCATAGGTCCCCGCAGCTCCAGGGATGGTGTAGGAGACGGCGCGAGGCTCGCTGCTCTGCTCCCTGCCGGGGCTCGCCGCCTCCTCCCGATCTCCCAGTGCTGCAAAACCGCGGCGGCCGGGGGCTGCGCGCCGGGCGGCCCAGGCCGAAGAAGTTAGTTGTGCGCGCGCCGCTGAGTGCGCGGAGCGAGCGAGCGAGGGAGGCAGCGAAGCGCGGGGGCCATGGGCTGGGGGATCCACTGCTGCTGCCCGGGACGGCTGGACCTGCTGTGCGTGCTGGCGCTGCTCGGGGCATGCCTGCTCCCCGTGTGCCGGACGCGCGTCTACACCAACCACTGGGCAGTCAAAATCGCCGGCGGCTTCCCGGAGGCCAACCGCATTGCTAGCAAGTACGGCTTCATCAACATAGGACAGGTAACGACTGGCTGGCCCGGCCCTCGGTCCTGAAGCTGCCCGGGGAGGTGGGGGGGTTCCCCCACGACATCGCGCTTCTTGTCCCCTCCTCGTCAACTCCCCCTTCCCCCTCTTCCAGATGTGTTCTTGCAGCTGTTGCTCTAACTCTTGAGCGATGCTCTCTCTCCCTCTCCCTGTCTTTCTCTCTTACACACATACACTTCAACTCCCCAAAGTTGCTGGGGTTTGCGTTTTGTTGACTTGGTTTTTGCAAATCACGAGGGACAGGTAGGGTCTCCGGGAAAATCGTGAGTGTGCATACCCCCACGGTGGTTTCAGACCCGATCGGACCTTTTGACATTGGAAATCGGGGAACACTACTAGCTTGAGCTCTTTTGGGGAGGTAGGGGGATAAGCACGCCCCTGATGCCGGCTATGTTTGGTTTCTGAGAGCAGGAGTAAGAGATAGGCAGGGAACGGAAAGCTTTTCCTGCTCAGACCTGAATTTAGCCCCGAAAGAAGTTTCCTCCTCTTAGGCGACAGAGCCACTGGGGCGCTGGAGGCGCAGGAGGCGCGGGGACTGGAGCTGGAAGGAAGGAGGGAGGCGGAGAGATGGAAGAGGGGGCCGGACTCCGCGTGAGCGCAGATTTTGGGGGAGACCTCCCGGCTTCTTGGCCTCTCGCGCGGGATACGCGTGTGGGCTCCTGGAGAGAGGGTCGGAAGGGAAGATGGGCAACGTCCGAGAACCGCTCTCGGAGTTCTCCTCTGGGAAAACAGCGAGTCTTCCTGTAGGAGGGACGTGCGGAGCCAGGGGCGAGAGTGTTGGGTAGGCAACAGGGCGAAGGGTTTTTGTGGGGTACCTCTCCAGGGTTTTGGGCAGAGCTGCCCTGTTGGGGGACAATGAATTGAGTGGTGTTATGGGGATGATTGTTAGCGCAACAGATTTGGAGGTACCTCCGGGCTAAATGGTCTTGGCTTCCTTGCTCTCCTTCCTGCAAGAAATGGGACCCAGAAAGTGCCCCCCACCCCGTACTCACCCCCTTCCACTCGCTTCTCCGGACCTGGTTGGAAGAGGAGACCCTGGCCAGACCTGAGGAGACTCTCCTGGGGGTGGGAGGCGAAGGTGGTGGGGACACCCTCGCAGCAGACGCGTTTCTGGGACTTGTGGGGATGCACGCGCCCTGTGTGCCCTGCCAGGATGAAGCGAGAGGAGGGGGCCAGCTGGTGCCGCTGAAGCAAGAAAGCACAGACGGTTTCCGATGCCAATGCGCTCCACGTCTAGGAAAGCGAGCCCTGGATCTGGGGACCTGGCACCCTCAGAGGAGGCAGCAGCTGCTGCTGCTGCTGCCCTTGGCATCTAGAAAGAGCTAGGGAGAGGCTTGTGTGTGTGTGTGTGGAGGGGGGGAGGGTGCGGGGGGGGGGTTTGGAGGAGCCGGGAGCACGAGGTCTTCCACTTTGCAGGTACAGAGGGAGGACATGCTCCGTAGAAGCCAGTTCTGTGGAGGATTGAGACCAGGGCTAGGGGCATAGTCAGTATCCACCCCACAACTCACTCAAACACACACCTGGAAGGAAGTCAGGGAAGCTAGCCAGATTTTGTTGCCCGAGTGCCTGTCATCTTCAGGAGAGTTCCATTCAAATGGCTCATTAGGATTCTGCTGGCTTCTTTTTTCACTGGAAGAAAACTCTGAGCCTGTTCAAGCCTTTTTCCATGAGCTTAAAGTTGGGTGCTGCGTGTGCCTGGGGATGTAACTGGGAAGGGTAACAATGAAAGCAGGCGTGTTAATCTTTCCAGAGAGACATCTCAGGTTCAGCTAACATTGAGCATCTCCCATATACCAGGCATAGTTGGAAGGATAAGTTCTTGAACATACACTGCTTTCATAATCCACAAAATGACTATTTTTAATGGATAGCACTTCATATACAGCAAAGAAGAAACACTGAAGAAATTGACCCGCAGAGAGTCACCAGGCTAGACAGTGGCAAAGCCATGATTCAGACCTAGGTCTCCCTGGTCCAGGCTTACTCCTGAATTTAAGACAACCTGTCCATCCCATGGGGGGAAGGAAGAAGAAAGCAAAATTCGCATTTCCCTGAATTCTGATTTAGTGGCTCAGTAGACTGGAAGCAAACATCCAGTCTTAATTCTCAGATACTTAATTCAAACACACCTTTACTTCTTGAATCTAAGAAGCTTCATGAGTTGCAAGGACCAAAAGACCTGTATCTAAATGAACTCTTTAACTAGAAATGGATACTGCAGAATCTGGCAGAGTGGGAGAGGAGATTTTGTTACCAAACCCCTTTTGAATAAGCAAATATTATAGTGTCCTGCAACCTCGCCTGACTCTTTTACAAAGGGCCTTCTAATGGAGATCCATGGCTTTTCATGTAAGAAGTAATACTAAGAAAGTTTACATACAAATAATACCAAACACTATTTATGGTGGTTTTTACAAGGCCAATGAGGAAATTTAGTGCTTACAGAGGTTACAGAGGACCCCTTGAACGGATGCCATAAGCAGTGTAAAAAGATCAGCTATTCTTACAGTGGAGAGCATTTCCTCTGTAGATCAAAGGAGAGTAATCCTATGCTAAGTCTTTGGGGTGGTAAATTGAGTCCACACCTGCAATATCATTGCACTGTAAGGGCCACATGTATTTCTTATCCATTCTTAACTGCTCTGACCTTTTAACACTTTACACATCCTTTTGTTATTCTTTCTTTCCATCAATAAACCAGCTGTGGTTCATTTGAGGCCAGTAACTAATTTGCAGACATCCCTGGAATGTTCTCCTGTTTTTACCCATTTGGGTTTGGGGTCCTACCTCATGTGTCACAAGTTGAGATTGAGACCTGTTATTGTTTCTGAAGTCACTTAAAATCCTGGCAGTATTTTTGATATCTTCAGTTTAATATTTTAGGTGGATACTGTAGTGAATTTTTATCCCAGTAAAGGTACAGTTTTGACTATCTACTCAGAATTTCAGTGTAACGTTTTGTATAGCACCTTCGCAGTTGAAAGCCACCAGAGGTAAAGTTTCTGAGCTGGAGATTTCTCCCCAAACACACACACACACACACACACACACACACACACACACACACACAAAGGCATGCTTCTTGCATTCATGATAGATAGGATGTGCAGAGGAGTGACACCAGAGCAAGTGGGCAAACAAATGGGGGAGAAAAAAGGACATGCTTTATTACTTCCTGGAAGGAACAACAAGGGTTTTCTTCATGCCTTTGGTTATACATTATGGTTTGATTAGGTTTTCACATAATGTTTATGTCTTGTGAATGGGTATGCCTTGAAATTCTGAAATGCCATAATTATTATTAGTAGCTGTCATGTTGGCATATAACATATTTTGTTTGGTATTGATGTCAGCTGTCGAATGGCCTGCCTTTTTTCTCCTACAAGCCCTGACTCTAAGCCCTCTTAGTATCTCTTATGACTAGCACCTGCTGGGTTGACTGAGGGTGGATGTGCCTGCCTGTTGGCCTTCAGGGAATGAAAGAGGCCTTCTCCTCTCTCATTAATACTGTATTCTGACCCTTTTAAGCTAATAGTATGGTGTAGTGGTTAGAGAATGACATAAAGGAATAAGGCCTGGCATAATGTTAATTGTGAACCTTTGGATTAAATCTACAAACCAGGAGGAATTAATTTCTGGTTATTTGAACCCAGCAAGAAGATCCCCTGTTGTTTGCAATGTACAGTAGCTATATTTATCCTTCTGTGAATTGCTTCTACTCCTTGATTCCAAGCTGAGATTACCAGTAGCAGAACCCCTCCCCAAACCACGGGACTTATCTTGAGCAAGATTCCAGAAGGATAAAGCCAGATGCAGACAATAGAGGGGAAATATTTTACCTGCAGTTCCCATTGAAAGCACAGACTTGGAAACTCTGGAGATGCCACTTACAAGGTCTTTGAAAGCAGGAAAGGGACTGAACTTAATGGAGCCCTGTTCTTTCATCTGCAAAATGATAAATCTCTGGATAGTAAAGTCAGTTGACTATGCTCAGCACACAGCTAGGCTTGCAGTGAAAGGTTTCTTGAATCTGAATCTGAAATAAGTGAGACTCAAACTTTAGGGAGAAAGCAAGCCATTTTTAAATGGGAGATGCAAAATGTGAAGATTAGGAAAATAATCTTTTTCACATTCTTTTTATTAGTTTCAGGTGTACAAAACAACATAATGACTAGACATTTACACCCTCACAAAGTGATAACCCCAACAGGTCTGCTACCCATCTGACAATGTACATAGCTATTATAATGCCATTGACTATATTCCCTATGCTGTACTTTACATCCTGTGACAAGATATACAGACGGTGCCAAAAAAATGTATACACATTTTAAGAAAGGAAAAAACTGTATTAAAATTGTAATACTCAATGTATACTGATAACAAAAGATGAATAAAAGTCACGTTTGACTTCTGTCATTGCAAGAGGTGCTCAAAGTGCTTACCATCAGCGTAATTTTAACACAGTTTTTTCCTTTCTTAAAATGTGTATACATTTTTTGGAACCCTCTAGACATATTTTTAATTACAGTTGACATTCAGTATTATTTTATATTAGTTTCAGGTGTACAGTACAGTGGTTAGGCAATTATATAATTTATGAAGTGATCCCCTTGATAAGACTAGTTCCCATCTGACACAACACATAGTTTTTACATTATTGACTGTATTCCACAGACTGTATTTCACATCCCTGTGACTATTTTGTGACTACCAATTTCTACTTCCTAATCTCTTCTCCTTTCTCACCCATTCCTCCAACCCTCCCTTCCACCTAGAATCATCAGTTTGTTCTCTATATCTATGAGTCTGTTTCTGTTTTGTTTGTTCATTTATTCTGTTCCTTAGATTCCACATATAAGCGAGATTATTGTTTGTCTTTCTCAGTCTGACTTATTTAGGAAAATAAAGTTTTGATGGCAGAGTGCAAAGAGGGAAGTCAGAGCTTTGTAGACAGGGAGAATGGTTTCCCATTT